GGACACAGAGCATGGAAAAGAGCGAGCACATGTAGTCAATCTGGTGAGTTCGTTAGAGGCAGCTCTACAAGGTTTTTCCACCGCTGCGTCTCAACAACTGTTACTCAATAGTAGGCTGTATCTTGCCAATTATCCTACGCTTGTACGCGGGTGATGGTTGTCATATTTGCTATCAAGTTGAGGGGTATGTGAAAGAATGAATTGGGCGGTGTGTAAGGAGGTGAGGGGGAGGAGAGAGGAGTGAATGATGAGGGGGAAGGTAGAGAGTGTGAGTGGGGGGTAGGATAGATAGAGAAAGAGAAGGCAGAAAGGGTGGGTGAGGAAGAGACCGCCGAGTGGAAGAGGAGAACGCAGGGAGAAGCGCAGACGGAGTGGAGGTGAGGGAGGGGGAGTGAGAGGAGATAAGAGTGCATGAGAGGGAGTGTGTGTGAAGAGGAAGGGGTGAGGAGAGTAATAGAGAGGGAAGGATGGGTGTGGGATAGTAGAGGTAGAGAGATGATGAGTGATAGGGGGTGAGGAGAAAGAGAGAGGGAGGGAGGGAGGGGGGCGGAGGAGGAGAGAGGGAGGGAGGGAGGGGGAGGAGAGAGAGTAGGAGGCGAGGGAGGTGGTAGAAGGAGAGTAGAGAGGGTGAGGGAGGGGGGAGGAGGAGAGAAGGAGGGAGGGGGGAGGGGGGGGAGGAGATAGAGAGGGAGAAGGGGAGAAGTAGAGAGAGGGGGAGGGAGGGGAGGAGAGAGAGGAAGGGAGGGAGGGGGAGGAGAGAGAGAGGGAAGGGAGGGAAGGGGAAGGAGAGAGAGAGGTAGGCCAGGGAGGTCGAGGAGGGGAGAGAGAGAGAGGAAGGGGAGGGGAGGGGGGAGGAAGATGGAGAGAAGGAAGGGAGGGTGAGGGGTGTGGAGAGGAGTACGGCGCTAAGTAGGAAGGGAGGTTGGGGTAGTGAGAAGAGAGAGGGAAGGGAGGGAGGGGGGGAGGCTATGAGAGAGAGGTTTGAGGATCGGTTTGTAGAAGTTGGGAGGAGGAAGAAGAAGTAGAGGTGGTGAGCGTAACAGGGAGAAGGGAGGGGGAGGAGTGGAAGGAGAAGCGAGAAGGGAGGGGAGGGGGGAGGGGAGAGAGGAGAGTGCGATGAGGAAGGGGAGGGAGGAGAAGAAAGAGGGAAGGAAAGGGGAGGAAGAAGAGGAGGAGAGTGGAGGGAGTGGGAGCGGAGGAGAGAGGGGGGATCGCAAGGCAAAAGGGGAGGGAGAAAGAGAGAAGGAAGGAGGGGGAGGCACGAGAGAGAGGGAAGGAAGGAGGGAGGAGAGAATTTAGGAGGCAGAGAAAGGGGAAGAGAGAGAGCAGGGAAAATTCTTGGAAAGCGAGGAGGAAGAAAGGGATGGAAAGGAGGGTGGGGTTAGGAAAGAAGAGAGGTTCCCTGTGAAGGAGGGAGAGGAGCGAGCGAGGAGACGAGAGGAACACAAAGGAGAGGAGGCGAGTGTCAAGGGGGAGAGAGAAGGGAGAGAGGGAGAGGATGGGTACAACGTGAAACTCAGGAACCGAGACGGACCAGCGGTTGGAAGGGAGAAGAATAGAAAGAGGAATAATTGGGGGTGAGAGGCCAAGAAGAGGGAAGAGAGAAAAGAGAGAGGAGAGGTACGGGCTGGGATCGGGCTGAAGAGGAGTAGAGGTGGGGGGGGGGAGGAAAGGAAGGGAAGGGAAAAGAGTGAGGGAGAGGGGAAGAGAGAGAATATGTTCAGTTTAATTGAAGGTAATAATAATAATAATTTTTGAATTTTTCCTCGTTTTCTTCTTCATCCCCTCTGTCACTTTCATATCCTATCATCTACCTTCCTTCCCTTCTTCTTGTCCTCTCTCCTTGCCTTCCTCCCTTCCTTCCCTTTCCTCATACTCACCTAGTCTCCCTTCTATACATTTTACCGTCTCCCTTCTATACATCTTACGTCTCCCTCTTGTTCTTCCCCAATACATCTCATCATCTTTTTTTTACCACCTCCCCTCCCTTCCAAAATAAAAGACAAAGCTGTCCTTCGTCAATGGCACTGCGGCAAAGGGGGTGCCAGTGGAAGTGTGCGCGGCGGGGAGGTGTGTCACCAGGCCCAGCGGAGACAATGGCACCGTCGGGGTTGTGGTCTCGGCACAGAAACTCGGGAGCGTTAAGGTCTGTGACGTTGATCTTTCCTGTGATGATCCTTGTTATTATCGTTATCTATTCCGTTGCTATGATTATTACTCTTACTACTATTATTTTTGTTATTTATATTGTTATTTTTTATTACTATTATTGAAGTTGTTGTTATTACTATTATTATTTTAATTGTAGTAGTTGTCATTTTATTATCATTATCATTATTATTAGTAGTAGTTATAGTAGTAGTAGTAGTAGCATTGCCTTCCATATGTCGCCATTGCTCTTATTATTTTTGTTGCAGTAGTTTAACGAACGTCACGTATCAATTCATTCTATTTTCTATAAGCATATCAGTTAAGATCCCTACCGCAGATGTCAACCTTGGTTGGGCGTGTTGATGAGCATCCTGCCACCTATTGTCAGTACGTCTCGCCCTACTTCTCGCCCTCGAACTCCTCCCTGGCCATACAAGTACCTGAAGACGAGCTGGAGTGCGAGGCGGGTCAAGAATCACGGATATCCATCCCTGTGTTCTTTTCTACCAATAATCAGTCAAGGGCCACTATTTTTGGTCAGGTAAGATGGCTTTTGTCATTGTCGCTACCTTTTGTTTCATGTATTTAATCGTAGTTGGGGCAGAAAGAGACGTAGGTTTATGTAAATCGTTCTTTTGCCATTAGGGTAAAGCCCCCTTTTCTTTTTTTAATTCAAAATGCGTGTATAAATTATAATATCCCACGACGGTATCCAAAACTTGCTCGTTTGTGCTCATAATTCCAAACTTTAAATATAGCCGTTATATACTTACGTAAGCTTAAAGTGTGTGGCTCCATTATGATACTTCCTCCCTTCGGCCATTCCCCAGCGAACTCAAATCCTACTGAACATTTCTCATATAGATTGTGTCTCGCGGCAAGATCCAGGCATCATTTAGCGAAAAGGTGAACCTGAATGCGGGCGAGCTACCCATCAACGCTGAACACCATATCAACGCCTCCACGCCCAATGCCTCGGGGTCGCACATTGTCACGGGCGTAGTCATCCTGAATATCACTCTCCCACCCACAGCGTCGCCCCAAGCCAAGGTGTGTAGGAAGCGAGAGGAGGAAGTGTGTGCGTGAGTGACTGATTGTTAGGGGTGGAATGAAAAAGGAATCTTATGGTCGGGGGTGGCAGGGAGAAAAAGGGATGCGCGAGTGTGTTTTTTTGTTTAAGGGATATTTTTCTACAGTGGGTGTATTTTTTTTGTTTCAGGGATATTTTATACAGTGGAGTTTATTTTGTTTAAGGGATATTTTCTACGGTGGAGTGTGTTTTGTTTAAGGGATATTTTATACAGTGGATGGTTTAGAGTGTGTTTTGTTTAAGGGATATTTTATACAGTGGATGTATTTTGTTAAGGGATATTTTTCTACAGTGGAGTGTATTTTGTTTAGGGATATTTTATACAGTGGATATTTTTTTGTTTAAGGGATATTTTTTTCTACAGTGGAGTGTATTTTGTTTAAGGGATATTTTCTACAGTGGAGTGTATTTTGTTTAAGGGATATTTTTATACAGTGGAGTGTGTTTTTTTGTTTAAGGGATATTTATACAGTGGAGTGTATTTGTTTAAGGATATTTTCTACAGTGGAGTGTGTTTTGTTTAAGGGATATTTTATACAGTGGAGTGTATTGTTTAAGGGATATTTTACAGTGGAGTGTATTTTTGTTTAAGGGATATTTTATACAGTGGAGTGTATTTGTTTAAGGGATATTTTCTACAGTGGAGTGTGTTTTGTTTAAGGGATATTTTCTACAGTGGAGTGTATTTTGTTTAGGGATATTTTACAGTGGAGTGTTATTTGTTTAAGGGATATTTTCTACAGTGGAGTGTATTTTGTTTAAGGGATATTTCTACAGTGGAGTGTATTTTGTTTAAGGGATATTTTCTACAGTGGAGTGTATTTTGTTTAAGGGATATTTTCTACAGTGGAGTGTATTTTGTTTAAGGGATATTTTATACAGTGGGAGTGTATTTTGTTTAAGGGATATTTTCTACAGTGGAGGTGTATTTTGTTTAAGGGATATTTTTCTACAGTGGAGTGTATTTTGTTTAAGGGATATTTCTACAGTGGAGTGTTATTTTGTTTAGGGATATTTTATACAGTGGTGTATTTTGTTTAAGGAGTGGAGTGTATTTTGTTTAAGGGATATTTTCTACAGTGGAGTGTATTTTTTGTTTAAGGGATATTTTCTACAGTGGAGTGTTTTTTGTTTAAGGGATATTTTTTACGTGGAGTGTATTTTGTTTGTTTAAGTGGATATTTTCTACGTGGAAGTTATTTTTCTACAGTGGAGTGTATTTTGTTTAAGGATATTTTCTACATGTGGAGTGTATTTTGTTTAAGGGATATTCTACAGTGGAGTGTATTTTGTTTAAGTTTCTACAGTGGGTGTAATTTTGTTAAGGATATTTTATAAACAGTGGATGTCCGTATTTTGGTTTAAGGGATACTTTCTCCTACAGTGGAGTGTATAGTTTTGTTTGGTTTAACGGGGATATTTCATACAGTGGGAAAGTGTATTTAGTTTAAGGGATAAATTTTAATACAGTGGATGTGTGTTTGTTATCAGTTAGTAGCTTTGAAAGCATGTCAAAGTGAAAGCATATGGAAGCTAATCCCTTCATCAAATAGATGACATTAATATTACCTCCTGATACAGCAAATTACCCCCATTGTTTTCTCACCCCCATTTTTTATGTACTATTATTCATATGTATATCTATTACGGTTGTCTGTCCACCTGAACTATTCTCGTTCCAACAGCTCGTGATTTGGTACAAGCGCTACGACGGCGAGGTGGTGTCCGACTCGGCCCATTTGAACGTGGAAAGGTGCCTTGGGTTCGGCACCAGCCTCGAGTGGTCGGTGGCACGGGGCCAGGTGGGGGAGGAGATCGCCCTCTCGCTGCTGTAGATAACTAACTACGGTTAGGCTGTCGCGTTTCCATAGGTCGGTTTTTTATCCCCTTTATCCTCTTCTGGTTCTGCTCATGGTCCAGGGTCATATCCTCAATGGACTCAGGGCTTTTTTGGCGTTTCTTTGTTTTTTCTCTCTTTGAGTGGGGGGGGGGGGGGTTAGATTGGGGTTTGTATTTAAACTTCTTTGTCGGGCGACGTTTGATTCCATTTTTTTTTTTGTTTTTTTTTTTTTAATGCTTGGTTTATTTGGAAATTCTGTCTGTTCTCAGAATTTTCCTTCTTTACCTGAATTGCCTCCCCCAAGAGAAGAGGGGAAAGAGAGAGAGAGAGAGAACAAACAAAACACAAACACACACACACATAATACCATCATATATATATATATATATATATATATATTATCCACTAATAGTATATATATATATATATGTATAATTATATAATATATACTCATATATAAGTATATACTAATTAGTATATGTAAGGAATATATATATATAGTTATGATAGGTACCAATTATGATATTAATATATTTATAATATATATATATATAAATACTCATATATATTATATATTATATATATAGTATTACCCCTAGTTTTCATACTTTCTAATGCATATACAATATATAAGCATTGTTTTGTGTTATGTAGTGTGTTTATGGGGGCATTTAGAGAGAGAATAGAGAAGAGAGAGAGAGAGAAGAGTAGAATTTCTCATTAGAGGATAGAGGTAACGTAAACATGGTGTTACATATATTATTTAATATATGGTTACCTATATTGTATAATATGTTATATATCCCTAAGTATTATATTTATTATATACTCATAATTAATATATATATTTAGATAGTTAGACCACCAACACATTTTTGGGCCGGTGATAGACACACACCACCACCACACACACACACACAACAAACACACAACCACACAAAACCACATACATACATTTACATATGGTATATATAATATCATATTATATTACTTTAGGAATATATATATTATATATCTAAGATATGGGATATATGTGTCTAATGCCACCATTCCTAACTTTAAACCTTGATTTTGGGGCGATCGTCCTCCCCACTCTGATATACTTTGAGGTCGCAATCTATATCCATGTCCCCCCATCGTGTCTGATGTAAGTGTGTCAATATATCCATCCTTCCTTTAACAGTGCCATTTTTCCATCCCGGCCCCCCCCCCAGAGTGGTGGACGGCGGCAAGCACCTGAACAGGGCGTCGCGGAGGCAACCAAGCGGCCACAGGCCGGCGATGGCCTGGAAGAGCCGCTTTGCGATCCACAGAGCGCCGAGGTGCATCGCCGGACACTGGTCTTCTCACGCGGCAGCGCCAGGACCACAGACGAGAAGGGTACTTTGCGCCAAGACGATTTCAAAGTGCGGCCTTCGCGAGACAGCAGCCGTCGGGTGAGTGGGAGTGGGGAGACATGGAAGGAGGCTGGAAGGGAAGGCGAGGTGAGGCAAAGTGGGTAGATGGTGGACCGCCTGGAGAGAGAGGTGTGAAAAAAGGAGGGCGAGGTGGCAAGGACCTAAGAGGCGAAATTACAAAAAAGGCAAAGAGGGGGGGTGTATCTGGGGACGCCTGGTAGGAGGAGATGGGAAGGGTTTGGACGTGTAAGTGCGAGGCGGAAGGAGGCGAAGGCAGGGGGTGATGGGGACGCCTGGAGAGGAGATGGACGGCAGTCGTGGAGTGATAAAAGGCGGTTTGTAATTACTGCAGTGAGAATGGAGATTATCCGTAGGTGTTTATTGAAGGTATTGTTTGTATTCATAAGAATTGCCATTTTTATAGTGTCACTATCATAAGTATCGTTATAATTAGTTACTGTGGTTTTATTACTGATACTGTGTTTGCAATCATTATTGTCATTCTGCATCATTCTAATAATTGCTATAATTATCAATGTAACTAATACGATTGTTATTGCTATCCGATTTACCTGCATTAAGTGTGTCCACAGACTGTAGCCAACCTCTTCTGTACTAGATGGGAAATGTTAGAACTTAAAATCAAATGAATATGCATGCAAGGGACAGTGGACCATGATAGAAGAGATAGCCCGTTTGTCGAGAGAAGGTCAAGGGCAAGAGTATCCGTGTACTATAAGAGTCAAGCCGGGCCCGCAGTACCCGCCTTTTTAAGTGTTGCCCCGAGATCCCCCTTGGGTGGCCTCGTGTGTTTGTACCCTAGCCGACCTCACGTTTCTTTTGCTTCGCTGCGAAATCTATCAAGTAGATAGAATACATAAAGGGTTCATAGATCGTAAAATATTGGAGTCGTGTGTGTGGTCATTAGCGACGGAGGAGGCACTATAATCATTTCTAGGCGCTGAAAGGCGGCGCACGGGCTTGTCCTACGCCCATTAGCGCTCGCATGCCTGCAAAGCCGCCTCCTCCACGCGAAGCTAAATCCTAAAATCTGGGTTTCCTGTGCACCGCAGGGTGGCTTCAAAGTTCCCACATCTTCGCGATGTGGGGATTACGTCGATACCTCAAGATTTTGATGTAAGAAGACATAATCGTAACAAGTGAAAATAATTAATGTACCATAAACGCACTACGGGCAAAACATTGCACATACATAGGCCGCACGTGCGACTATAGGTTTGAGTCTGAATCGGGTTGGTGCGGACTTATAATGTTCTCCTGCTCCGGTAAATTACGGCACTGATAAGGTTATGCATCCCTCGTTTGCCATGGTGTGATCGTACAGTCCTGTACGGATTAATCATACATAAGCTACAGTACAGCGAAGCACACACACAAGCATCTAGTGTACGTCCATTGACACGAAACAACACGACCACCCCAAATCGACGACACAACCACAACACACAACAAACACCGACACCCACACAACGTTATACGACAAGTATCACGACACACACATACACACACATACATACACTACCATACACATACACATACAACATATACACCGATACACAATACACATACACATACACATACACATACACATACACATACACATAACACAACATCACAATAAGCATATAACACGCACACGCACAAAACAAGTGCGTGTGTATATGTATATGTTTGTATGTATCTATATGTGTGTATATAGGAATATTATAAATGGTATTATATGTATATTTACACTATATTTACAATTAAATATTTACATTCAATTAAGATAAATTACACACATATATTATAGAGATAATATATTACCCTAAAATCCGAATAACAAATGGTGGAACAAACTAATGATTGACCTATGTTAAGCTAAGAACATTAGAATGTGCATAAGAATTGCAATATATATTAGAAACTTATGATTTGTACAAACCCATAAGAACAATGAAAATATTATTTGAATAATCCACTAATGAAACAGATCATGGAGATCTTATTAAAAATAAGTTATATACTATTAAAATCAATTAGTAAAGACATTGTGTATAACAGCCTGAGGGGCACAATTATCAAAATTGAAACAAAATGTGAAATATTCAACAAAAACATGATTTTAGAACCTTTGATCAAAGGAGTACGAGGTAATGGGTAAGCAGTGGAAGCTGGCATACTATTTTGTGTCCTAAAATCATAATCCTAAACTTTAATTGAGTTACTTTTAATAATATGTATACTAAAGGGTTAAATGAATCTAGAAAGATGAATTTACAATGTTACTAATAAAAAATTATATTAAAAAAAAACATGGAACACAGGCTGCCATCAAGGAGACGTGTAACATGAATATACGGGAGACTAAAGTAAATGGGAATCCTAAAAGGATAATCGTCTTAATTATTTGAGGAATTCAGTATCTGTTGAAGGTAAATATTCATTAAGGTTAGGCTTTTCTTTCCAAATCCACAGACTCTCTAAAACGTTGAGACCAAAATCAAATTGGGATGAACCCAGGATTTCAAAATCCTCTGTAGAATGGTTTGTTAATTCTGAATGACTTTTAATTGAGGATTTTGTTGGTCTAGTTCATTTATAATTAGTATTTCTAAATGAGAAACCTTTATGTTCTTCAATACACATGAAAAGGTTAGGGGATGTTTTCCCAGTGTAAGTAGCATCACAGGTACTGCACGAGAATTTGTAGAGAATTGAAGAACGTAGAGATCTAGGAATTTTACCTTTAAATTTGAATAAATTACCAATGGAGAAGGATATTGTGTATATAATCTTGAGAATAACAGTGGAATAATGTGCTTTAATTAAACTTTTATAGTTTTAGTTTATAGTTTTACATAAATTAAATCTTTAAAACAGTTAATAAGGGTTCTTCTGGGACTAGGAGTCTGTTGTAGGTTTTCTGAATGTTCCTTTCAGTGAATTTAATGGGAAACATGTTCTTTCTCAAAATATTGGTAATAAAATCAAATTCCTTTGTGAAGATATAATAGTCCTTTGAAATCTTAAAAGCTCTGTAGAGTAAAGTTGAAATCAGAATCCCTTTATATTTGATTGTTATGTAGGCTTTGAATTTTGTAGTAAAACCAGTGTAAGTCGGCTTTCTGTAAACTGAGGAGACAAAAGAATTCTTATCCCTAGAAATATCAATATTTAAGAAGGGAAGATGGCCATTAAGCTCAATTTCACAAGTGAATTTAATGTTAGGATGCATATTTAGATTTGAATTAAGGTAGGGTATCATCAATAAATCTATAATAATGAATAGGTTTAAACTCCTTAGGGCAATTTTGTAACCAAATACTTTCATTATAGCACAAAGATGTTTATACCATTTTCCATTAAACCAAACATTACATCTTTTGTGGCTATGTCCAAAAGTTTCATAAAATACATCTTATTGAATCCAAAAACTTATCAAACAATGAGTTCATAATGATATCGATGGTTTCAGGGTTTCATTTAAAGGGACATTTGTAAAAAGGTTTGTAACATCAA